CCCCAAAACCCCAAAACCCCAAAACCCCAAAACCCCAATCTGGTCCTCGAAATTGTAATATATTATAAATGTGGAAAGAATTCTCAGAAGAGAGTCAAAACCTTGACCTAGACTACCTTTACCAAGAGCTAGATTTACTCAAGTCCTCTCTAGAGGTCCCATACATTGACAAAAGGGCAAAAGATGATGACCTGAATGAAGACTTGCTTGAAGAAGTCAAAATAGCCTTCAATGAGATCAGCCTAAAAGAGAAAGGGATGAAGCAGCTCATCCAAATAATGGAGTTTGCTCTAGATAAGTACTCAACTCTTTCCGATGAGCACCGTGATACAAAGAGCAAGCTGTCTTCCTCAGAGAACGAACTTACTTACTATAAGGATACTATCGTAGCTAATATGACTATTCAGCTTGAAAGAAATGAAAATAATTTGGAAGATCTTGAAGAAGAATTAATCAAAGCTGAAAGGGAAATTAGAGAACTCAAGGAGCAGATCAATAATCAAAAGCCAGAGGTCACTATTTTCAAGAATATTCAAGAGATGGAAAAGAGAGTCCGAAGACAGTCAATGCTTGAAACCAGAGGACATATTACTGGTCTTGAGGAAGCTTTAGAAACTACCAAGAGCACCAATCAGAAGATCAAGGGAAACCTCGATTCACTTAAACAGGAAATCGTTATGCTGAGCAAAGAGAACAAGAAGCTTAAAAGAGAGCTTCAAAATGCTTATGATAATAACGACAGAATCGCTAGAGATGTAGAGGAGCTTAATAAAATGAAGTCAGCGTTTGAAGCAGAATTCACAGAAGTAGTCGATTCAAAAGATAACGAAATCACCCAACTTGCCAAAAGACAAGAACATTTGATGGAGGAACTTAAAAGAGCAGGTAAGAAGAACAAGGAGCTTGAGGGTAAAATGTCAAAATTCAAGGAGATTACCAGTAAATCCCCTGTCCGTGCGAGAGCAGAGATCCAAGTAGACAGAATAGATACTTCAGCTTCCAACGAAGATGACTTGAAAGAGGAGGAAAAGCGATCAACTACCTCTGTTGAAGATATGTTCGACGAGGATATTAGAGAGAATGCTAATTATGAACGAAGAGGGACCTACGAAAGTCTTAAGGAAGTCATGGGTAATAGGAATAGTTATTATGGCCGAGAGACAGAAACTTTCTTAAATGGAGGAGACGTAGAGGAATTGAAAGATGATGACTCTGATGAAGACTTTGAGAGAATGGTCGATGTAGGTACACAGACAGTTGAAAATACATTGGATTCTAGGATTTCTTTGAAGACTATTGAAGAAGAGAAGTATCAGACTACTTTGCAGAGCAATGGATTCGATGATAGTAGCAGGTTTAGCAGAAGTGACAATAGTACCTTCAGTTTTCCACGGATAATACGCACCAAAGGTGATGCTCTAGAAGACTTTTTCAAAATGTCTGTCTTAGCCAATAAGATCGGCCATCAAGACTTAGATAAAGTGTGCCATATCAAGGCTAAAAAGCTATATAAGAAATGAAAAGAGACGAGTATTCCCTTCCAAGATTGGCACAATTGGATTGAGAAGCAGATAAATGACTTATACCTAAAGAAAATATATGAGAACAAAGCTAACTCTCATAAAGGAGTCACAAAGAATTTTAATAGAAGCAATACAGAAGATAGCTTCATTGACATTAGCTTCCAACGTTCTACTACTAATGGGTCTGATGTAGACCAGTTAAGGAAATATTTCTCTGATAAATCCAAAAATGGGAACTATCATGCTTTCGATGGTGGAAATACATCAGACAAGAAATGAATAATATTTTAATTTACTCTTTCAAAAGAAACCTAAAAAAATGGGGTTTTGGGGTTTTGGGGTTTTGGGGTTTTGGGG